AACAGCTCCATCGAGACCTTGGTGCACGGCACAGGCTCCACAGCAACAGACACTATGAGTTTGTCTACAACACACACACACAAACACACAGAAGTCAAAGACATTTGTCCGGGGTTTGACTCCAAATATTGTACAGCAGCAGATGAGATGAATTTCCTACTATTAGTGATGAAAAGATTTCTTTCTAGGGGACATGACATACCAAGAGGCACCCAGGCTCCAGCCTCCGTCTTTCTCAGACTGGATACCACATTGGGATCTCTGAAGAAACTCTGTGTAACAAAGAGTGGCATCAAGAGCAATTACATGTGATTGAACACATGGAGACATTTTTATCAGAACAGACAGCCAGGGATTGTTAAACTGTGATTGGGAATGATTAAGCATCACTTTCAGTTTCCCATTTTTTCTAGAAGTTTTGGAACAAGTATATTTACTGAAATACTGTACTAGAGAATAATTTAAGATACGTGTCATTACGTTGTAGGCTACATGAGCATTTTCATTTTCTGCTACTTCATACTTACTCTAGGAAGGCAAATATTGCACCTTTTACTACACAACATGTCATTACTACAGTTGCTATGAAAACTGATCAGTTTTACAAAACATTATCAACAAATAAATTATGCTGAAACCTTAAAGCAATGTAAATATAAATGCTTCAATACTGCCGGTAATAATATTTCAAATAATATAATAGCAATACATTATTCAGAAATGGGAAATTTTGCACAATATGTGGGGTTACTTTCCCTTTTTTGTACTTGAACAAAGTACAAAGACTATTTAATTTCTACACTGTAGTATATTTTAGTATCCACGTAGGGCACTTCTATCACCAATGTTCAGGTTTTACTGTGGCCTAATTTCAGACTCGTATCCTAACTTATCATGGTGGGTCTTACCAGTGCAAACTTGTCACTGCTGTAAGGGTAAAAGCACTGGTCAAAGCTGTAAGTCTGAGCTGAAACCCTCCCCAGCATGGACCTGAAAGTAAAACACACATCCATTAGGCAAGCATACACCCTGAAAACTGAAGTGATCGAGGATGGAGATAACCTGGGGAGATTTCCGTTGGAATGTCATACTTCACCATTTCATAAACAGTTCTAACGTCTCTCGGTCCTGTAGGAAGGAGAACTTCTTGGAGGGAAGAGGACAGAAGGAAAAAGTTTGCTCAAAGTCGCATTTATCTCCTGCCATGTTGTTAGTCTTTCTTTGGTTGTTGTTAGCTAAATTTACAAAAAGCAATGACGTCCTACTCGTATTCATCAACAAGTGGCAGAGTTGTCGGCGTTACCAGCGTTACTAACCAATCAGCAGCACGACTGCTTACTAACAGCCAATCAGCGTCTAGTATGGACAGTTTGTCCCAGGTACGTAGGATTACAACAGAGTGGCTCGTCTCACTTTTTCAACCCATCTCTGAAGATTCGTTTACTTGTTACCTAGGAAACGGTCGTACGTGACGTTACTCTCCTAAAAACTAAGCTAGCATTACAATTAATTTAACTGACACGTTTTATTTTTGGAAGCTAGTGCCGTCTTCCTGACCTTATACTGTACGTTTACTTAACTCACTGTCAATGAATGATCGACTTCAGGGGCTAATACACGTTAACCCGCAGGGGGGCAGGCGACATGTCTTTACAGCCACCAGAGAGCATCCTTGTCCTGCTTGAGGAACACTATTCTGGCTCAGGCTGTATTGTATTTAATCTCATGTGTTGTCACTCTTTCTTCTCTTTTGTAAACAGGTTGGAAAAAGTACTCATATCTTGTACTTAACTAAAAGCAGTACCACGTAATAGGAATACTCTGTTACAAGTAAAAGTCTTGCATTCAAAATGATACTCGAGTAAGGGTAGCCTACTCATTATGCAGATTGGCCCTTTGCAAATTAATATCATCATTCAGCTGACGCTTTTATCCAAAGCGACATACAATAAGTGCAAAAACCATAAAGAATCAAACTCAGAAAGTGGAGATATATTCACTTCAAGCAAGATCATACCATTGTGCTGGTGAATCAGATACAAGCCCTAAATTAAATCAACAAGTGCTTTTTAATATATTTTATGTCTTGAATATAATTATTGAAACATCAATGTGTTATCAAAGCTGATAAAGGTGCAGCTAATTTTTTATTTCTCTGTACATTCTACTGCAGGGGTAGCTTGAATTTTGTGAATTTTAATCCATGCAACTAAAGTTTTATTTGAGTGTTGATTATATTTCACATCATTTATCCAAATCTTCAAAGTAACCAAAGGAATTAAATAACTGTAGTAAAAGTACACAATTTAGCTCTGATTTTTGTCGTGGGTAAAAGTACAAAGTACCAACAAAAACGTTGCTTTACTCAAATAAAGTACAAGTCTCTCAAAATGGTACCTAACAATGTACTTGATTTACTTCACACCACTGTTTAAACAGCAGGGTTTGTTAGTCATAGTCAAGTCAGTAATCTCAGGTAACGTCATCGCGAGACAAATAAACTGCTCTGCTATATGAGATCACATTTTCATTCTTGATATTAGAAGCAATCTCAACTCCAAGGAAACTTCATCCCTTGTCCGGGATGTTAAGTTTTTTTATTGATATGTTATTTTGTTAAAAATAAATAGTATAGGTTTTCATTTATTTACTATAAATGAGTGACATTTTCTTGTGATTGAGCATGTCCATCTTTATCCGATCAGACAGCATTGCCTTCTCACATTTAGTTTTTTCTTACAACATCCTCTCCTGGGTACACTCCTTAAGATTAAAGATTTAAAAAAAACTTTCATATGATTGTGTATCAGTAAAATGTGTACCAGCGCTGTGAAGCGAAACAGATGTATCTCCAGATGTTTTTATCATCCCCTTGCCTTATTCTCTCTTGTAAATGTTGTTCAATTTGACAGAAACACCTGAGCTTCAGAGACTAAAAGAGCAAGGTTTATTTTACCATCAACCTTTTATTTATAGATCTCAGTTTTTTTTTACATAACTTTGAAAGGGTACTGCTTTCCACCAGTAAAGGGTACAATGCTGCAAATGCTTCGGTGCTTGTATGTTTTTTATAAACATAGGATTTTCCTTCCTCCAACTATAGTCCTTGTAACTCCCTCCATATCCATACACATATTTGTATTCATCCTGGCTCAAATACTAATTTCATTCTCAACATTCCTGGTTGGTGGAGGATGTGGGATCTTTTTGATCTACATTCCAGTCTGGGACATCCAGACCCCGATATTCCCAATAAGGAGAGACAAGCATGTCCTTCATGGTCACCCTGAAGTCATGATAACGTAATGTCTCTTTAATTGTTGTGATTTTAAAGTCCTTAAGGTTATTAAAATGTCCATCTTTTAGCTGAAATGCATCATGAGGTAAGTCTTACAACAATTGTTTAAACTCCTTAGCCATTTATAATCAGACCATCCTCAAAACACTGATGATAATTTGAGTAATAAACTGAAATGTATTTAAACATTATATTCTCAGAAAACAGGATAATTTAGTTTGTCTAGACTAGCGAGAAAGCTGATGCTGAGAATATTTGATGGACTGAAAATTGGGCCCATGCAGCTGTTATAACCCCAAAATGTGATTGACAAAGACAATTGTGCCAAATTGATGTGTTCATACCGTACAGCCAGGCTATAACCTGACATCATTGAGTCACGTCATTAAAGCAAAAGTGCCATTGTCTGCTGATTGCTATGTTGTAATTGCACTTGATTTATGCTGATGAAATGAAAACTGAAAAACGTGGCGGGCAGGAATAAGGCGGGGCAGGTGAGAAGATGTAACAGCTGAGGAATGTTTGCTGTCTGTGATCAAATGTTTCCATTACAGTTTTGCAGATTCAATAGCAGATATTGCATCTTATCCAAATGCTATGTCACTCGTTGATGAATGAAAACAATTGCATAATGGAAACCTTGCCTGCCTCGTGTCTAGAGAACATCCGTCAGTGTGTTTGTTCATGTAATTCCCACAACCAGTGTAGAAGAATCAGCTTAAGCAGGACACTGAGGTTATGACCTCTGTTTTTTTAAGTGATTTGGAGATTTTAGGGACCTTTTTGGGGGTTGATTAAAAGGTGTTTCTAACATTTCGTTAAACCTACATTTTAGCCCACGAGATAAGAGATTTAAACATATCGACACATTTTATTTTTGGCCATAAAACAAAGTGATGACCTTTATTGAATTTGCATACAATATGACTAGAGTCCTGCCTACGACCCTAAGCTTGAGATTTGTAGTTTTATTAACATTACATTCAATATATAATGCATCATTAAAACATAATTACTAATTGTTGTACATGTTGACATTCTTACTATTGCTAAGCTAATGTTTGCATAAAAATTGGTCTGGTCATTATATTATAAAAGCATAACCAGTAAAAACAATTATGTCACGTATGGAGGGGAAAATGATAAAACATACAGAAAAAAGTAATTAAAAGATAAACAAAGCTGCTAACGCTGTTAGAGGATGCTAGAAATTCCTGCCCAAGCGTTATCTTCAGCAACATCGCTTGTGTATAGGCCTAAGTGACTGCTGAAAGCTCTTCTCCTATCTCTATCACTCCAATCCACACATATTAACACAGATGAACATGATGTGTGGTTTGTATTAACAGTGGTACATTAGAAAAAAAGTGTGGACAATTAAAGACAAGGCCAGGTTCTCTGAGTGATAACACTATTTGGTGTAACAACTCTCAGATTGAGAAGGCCTGGAACAGAAGAGGTGACTCCTTAAGTGCTTCTGAATTGATCGTGTTTCTCGGCCCAATGACATTATCTGACCTGGACCTATGAGTGCAGACTGTGTCTTCTATTCCCAAATGTCAATCAAACAATTAAGGGGCCTAACAGGCTCCAGTAAAAACTCCACACACAGAATTCTCCAGGAGGACCATCTCAGGCATGAGATGGTCATGAAGATATCTTCATAGGGTCAACCTTTAGTAGGCCTATTTGTTAATTCCCTTTATCTTCTGGCTTCATCTTTTCCTGTCAAAAAGAGAACATGCAGCACAAAGTCGTGTTGGCAGCCACTTCAGTAATAGCTTAATTTAGCAGGAATGTTTTTGAGTGTCAGCTAAAATTAAGACATTATGCAAAAAATAATAATAAACTTTTACAGAGAGAAATGTCAATTTGAAAAACATTTTTCAAACATTTTATTAACAGACTATAAGATATGTTTTAATAACGTGTAAGTAGCATACCTTTTACTAGTAAAATATTGTATACAAAGTCAAACAAAAGTCACATGAAAAAGTAAAAAAGGGTGGGGGGGCGGTCACTAGCGGCCAGCACAGTGACCCAAATCAAGTACACCTACGATGATGCACGTCATCAACAGGTGCACACTGTGTGTTGCTAATAGCTAACATGCTAGGGTTCTTTTGGTTTCATCCATGAGAGGATCCTCCAGCGGTTTACTGAGGAACCTTTACCTTCAGTGAGGTGTGTGAGGACTTTCTGCAGTTTGTGACCTGATGAGTTTGAATGCAGAGCTTCATTCAGCTCTAAAGTTTTGGGAACATCGAGGAGCTCAGTGGGACAGAGAGGACTGTGAACTGAGATGAACCTGGAGCAGACTGAGGAGGATTCACAGAAGATTCACAGCATGACGTTCATACAGGTGAGTACAATGCAAACTGGCTTGTGACTTGCGTGTGTGTGCGCGCGTGCGCAAAGTGATGTCTAGAAAAATTAATGTAATTCTGATTTGGACATTATGGCTCTGCTAAGACAAGAGACACTTTCAAAGGAATACATTCATTATGTAGGCTAAAGTGTTTTTTTGTTTCCCTTTTAAAAAAATAAATCAGAAGCTGTTACTTAAAATCCATTTTAACTGACTTACTTTCTTATTTTATCTGAGAATCTTTTTTACACAAGGACTTATAGGAATACAATGTTCTTTACTGAAGATAAGTGGGTTCACCAGGGGCGTTTCCTGGACCTGGAAACATTCGGGGCTTAGCCCACAGTTCATTAAGGTACATTAACGTACGTACATTAAGGTACCGGGCGCTACAGTGGAAATGTCGACTGCAACACTCCCCACACGCACATACACAGTACACCCGCGACTGTTACAATGAAGGCTCGATAATCAACTCACGTCACGGCATATAGGTGTAAGCAGGGGTAAAGTGCTATTTTTCACAAGTGGGGGGCAGACTTAACCTCTAGGGTGTCCTCACCTCCTCTAGGGGTGTCCTCACCTCCTCTATAGGGGTCCGGGGGCATCATTCCCCGGGAAGATTTCTTTTTAAATATTGAAGTTAAAAGCATCAATCTGGTGCACTTTGAGAGCAAAATTAAGAGATATGGATACATCTTTCAACACCCATATGAAACAGAACTGCAAACATATTTTCATTTCTTTATGGATATTTTACAAATCACTCCCATGTGACTGTGTAATGTAAGATAGCTTCTAGCTTCATGTCGAACACTGACAGTAAGTCAACATTTTCCAGAGAGCTTTCTTTGAAATCACCAGGTAACGCTAAAAAACATAACATTTAGTTGTATGACAAAGTGTTTATTAAATATATCTGGCTAGCTATAGCTACTTGCCAACGGTTTAGCTTAGCCCCGCGATTCAAAGTAATGTCAATGTAACTGTAATTTATGCTTTGCTTACATGTTCGCATAGCTTGGAAGTTTACTGACATTTACATACCTTGTATACCTGGCTCAAGTGGTGGCTCTGGGGTTGTTGTGTGAGCCACCACTTGAGAATTGTCGTCTTTTTTAAGAAAAAATGTTCTTATGTCCATCTTCAAAAACTCAGAGTCCGACTGAAAGTTTAAACATTATCACAGGATACTGTCAGCCAATAAGACACGTTTATTTCCATGCAACTCTTTGGTCTGGTGTCTTGCCTCTGTTGCATTCACTGAACAGTAGGCCTACACGTGAAATTACAATCCTGCCGTCCTCTCTAGTGTCATGATGAGGTTCAGGTAAAGCACGGCTAATGTATTATATTATTGAGGGAGAATTGTCCGGGGCCCAGGCCAGGCGACGCGCCTGGGGTTCACAGATACGATATGCTACTGCTATTTACAGAGACTCACCAAGGGAAAGAGTTGTGCCCAGACTTTGAGAACACTGGGAAACACTGCTGTAGTATTTGACTAATGAATCAGAAACTTTTCCTAATGATGTCATGGTGAGAGTGAACTTTGTTACTGAACTCTTTATTCTGCTCAGGGTCAGGCGGTGCACGCTGTGAGTCCCAAAGGGAGCTTGGTTATTCTCAGTCACTCTGCACTCTGCCTCTGGTTGTATGGCATATTGTGGTGTTTTAGATTTGATGAGGTGAAAATGAAATGCATTCTCCAGACTCAAACACATTTAACCTCTGGAAATTCAACAGGTAGGCGTAACTGTGTTTGTGTGTTGGTCCACTTAGTGATGACAAGCCGTAATCAAAATATTTGCTTTCACAAGACGAGAGAATATCTGGGCGTGTGTGGCGAACATGTTAGAATAATAACTTTTTCCCTTTTTTCTTTCCTTCTTTTTTTTCTGTTTTTATACTTTTATGATCATTTGTCTTGCATTGTTTGTTTAACTGTGTTTATCTTTATTGTTTTTTAATGTGAGAAATGTCTTTTATACGTATATATAGCAGATATAGGCAACCAGTGATGGGCAGGTTAATGTGCTTAAGCACTTGAAAAGTAAGTTATCATTATTAGAGAAATATATTTGAGAAATAGTGCTGCTTTTCTCAAACTCCTTTGTTTTGCGACCCACAAAAATATGCAGCGATATCCACGCCTCGTTACATTTTACAGAGTTATGGCCATAGTGTGCACACAAAGACGTGTGTTCTTATTTCTATTGATTACAGTGACATAATTTTGTCATCAAGATACACCAACCTTTTCTGTGCTAACCCTGTAATCAGACTTGTTTCAGTACGTTAAAACTGTCTGGTGCATGTTTTCAAATACAGGAGGCAAATGAAATGAGAACTGGGAACATCAGAAAACAGACCTTGTTATGTCTTCCTCCCAGTACGCTCTCTAATTGTTGTTTTTGCGTTGTGATACTGTTTCTAAGATATGCTGGGAATCCTAGCAGAGTTGTGTAGGGACACGCCGAGGAAGAGAAACATGGAGAAAGGGGAATAGGTAGGAAAAGGTAGATAAGACCCTCTGTGAGGTTTTGTGTTTGATAATATCTGTGAGACTGTCTGCTCAGCGTCTCGCTGCCATACTGTGTCTCTTAACCTAATGCTGCCAGCAACTCAGCGTAAAAGGTATTGATGGATAACAGGTTGTTGTCCGAGAGTAATGGTCTTAGGGGATCAGTGTTGAAGGTCTAACAGGATTATTGTTGTGGTTAAACGGACAAAGAGGTTTCAGCTCTTCAAGGGTCAGAGGTCAGGACCATTACATCTAGTGGCTGATGCATGGCTTCGGACTTATAGTTGTTAATATACCAATATACAAAAACATATTTTTTTCTCAAGGTTTTGTTGTCATTTGCTGAGGTTTGGAATGTTTATTTGCATACACCTCATTATGACAGAGATCAATGTTGTTTGCTTGGCGTTTTGTAACAAGGCCAACCAATATCTATAAATTCAACAACAGCTTCTCTTTAACATAAATATGGTTGATGTTTTAGCCTTCTTACATCATGCCATAACAAGCCCAGAGAACACTGCATGTGTGCCTTTAACAGTCACCACAAGATGATATGCTTTGTTTATGAGCACCATGGTTTCTGCTCTATACTAGTGAGCAATACAATTGCTAGTTTCTGTTCACTAATAAAAATGAATAGTGAGTAGCTATCCAATATTTCTGAATAAAGAGCAGCATAACTACAGTTACATCTGCAAATCACCTAACGTATGTATGGATACTGTTACCCCCTTGTTGGACTCCCTTTATTCACATATTGAGGAATACATTTGTATGCTTTACAAAGCTGTCGACACACCTCTGGCAACATATTGTATCACAAAAATATATATGCTTTTGAATAAATGAGCAACTTACTGAAGGAACCACTGTTTAATTACTATGTCAGAGCTATTTCAAAAACAAATCTTCACACCCACTGTATATAGGTTAAGTGATGTTCTTGTGTCTTATGATCCATAAGGGCACATATATATTTAAATGTTTAATTCCCTTTGGATAGAAAAATCTGCAGAGTAAAGGTCTTATGATTCGCCCCTGATGAAGAGAAGCAGAAAGAGACAATAAAGTGCTCTAGTTTGTAAACATGAGACAGTTTACATTTAAAAAACATGTGACGCATCTTACATTAAGTACATTTCATATTAACAACACTTTCCATTTATATCATTTGGTCTCTGAGTCTATGACTCTCTCACACTCTTGACATTTGGGAGACAACCCAAACACTCTCCTCGTCCCACTCCCGACACTTCTGTTTAGCCCATTTCCACCCTGGTCTCCGTGGTAACGGTCCGTGTACGGCTGCCTGATATGGAAAATGATGCTGGATTTTCCGCAGGCGTCCAGGAATGTAATCTCAAGTCTTTGCCAGCCTGTTTTGGCCTCTGAGGGAGACAAGCTTGCTCCTGTGACACTGACTGGTAAACAACAAGGGGCGAGCTCACACAGCCCCCCCTGCAGCGCTGGACCTAACGCAGGGCTATTCAGAAACATATGCACCCCATAGATCAAAGTGGACGTAATCACTGTTATGTCGCCCATTAGTTTGTGTAATAAGGTAAAGCCTTGAGTTTATCATTTTGGTTTCTAACAGTTGACATTTTGATTTTTAAAACCAGAAAGGACACAGGGGATGGAGCAACTAAATGCTGAAGAAGACATTTTTAGGAGATATAAATGTTATAGTAACTTACCAATCTGAAAGTTATCGTGAAAGGGTTTGAGTTGTAAGACAAAAAACACAGCGCATCCAGACTGGACACAAGCTAGCCCCGCCTTAATCATCATTATCACTATCACTATACTATTGTCACTATCATTCTTTATCGTCAACTTTCCACTAAATGGGTCCACAATTCACAAAATTAACATCATACTGAATTGAAGAACACCTTAAACTACTATTGAGACCAACATATTTAGAAAGTAGGGTCATTCCCTCATAGACTTTTATAGATTCAGACTTATTATTTTTAGTTGCCCCCTGCTTTTGATTGGAAAGAAAAGTGTAAATCTCTCATGCATTATTTTAACTTTCTTACCTGGAATTTGCCACCAGACGCTCACACACGCTTGTGTTTGTTTGTTTGTTTGTTTGTGTATTGCACTCACACACACTTCCTGTAGCCACTGACACCCTCAATTGTCCCATTGTGTTTGAACAGAAACCACTGTGGCCAGATTAAATGGCAAACAACTTGCTTGAGATAGAAATCAACAGGCCTCTGATCTCCGGTCTGCTCCAAATAAAACAATAGGGCAAAACCTACCTCCGCTTATTGTTTTGGAAAATATATGTTCCAAAAAATCAAGCATACGAGTCACGCTGCAATGAGTCATACAGTTTAACACTTGACAGTATTTTTAAAATAGTGTATATTTATAAAATGGCACTTTTAAACATGAAAAATACTGAACAGACTCATCCATTTTCAAAGTAGTCGGCAAATATCTTTTGGTCGATTGACTCATCAATTAGCCGACTTGGCGTTGCAGCTCTAGATTTACCTTTGCAAGCAGATCCACAGATCCTCGAGATTGTATTGAAACTCATGGATTTTTCCATCAAATGTTACAGTTCAGTCAGACAACTCACGTATTTCTTTAACATGTTTGTTAGAAGCAGCATATAGTTGAGTTTGGCATCTAGGCTCGGGCCTCATCACTCCACATCTATACATAGCACGATGAGTGATAAATAACTAACCCCCCCGAGTCTACAGGTGGAAGCTGGGGTGGGGGTGGTGGTGGTGGTGGGGTGGAAGCTGCGGTGGTGGTGGGGCAGGCAAGCAGCAGCGACGTGGAAGTAGCTGCAGCAAAGCAGCAGCAAGCAAAGCATAGAGAGATATCTGGCAGGTTAAATAGAGCGGCATATTAAGGAGACTCTGTTTGGTTGGTTGTAGAGTGGCAAGGGGGCGTTATGTATGAATGCAGCATAAGTGCTCGAGTTGACTGCCTGAACTAGCTCACAGGCTTCCCCCCTAATTTGTGATTACTGATGTGAGTATGACTTTTAAAGAGGTCAATCAACACGGCCTGATGGATGTATTATGCTCCATTAGGAGAGGTAGTAACTCCAGTGGATGGATGGATCGATTAATGGATGGATTATTGAATGGATGGGTGAGTGAGTGCAGGTTGACAGGTATTGAGCGAGAGTGTTGAGACCACCACAGCCGGCTCAGTCCCTGGTGGGATGGAGGGACGGGTGAATGGGCCTGGTGTCTTAAGCACCACCTGATGCCTCCTCCAGTCTTTTTGTTTAAAGTGAATAAATTATATCATAGGCAACTAAGGGAAAGGGTGTGTAATGGTAGGAGTGTTTCCTTTTGATCTTCAATGTCACATTACTCCCTTTGGAAGTCAAATAATTCCCTAAATGCAATCGATTGTCTTTTCAATCTGATATCTTCCATGGAAACACCTCTCACACAGCAGCGATGTGTATCTGCAGCTACAGAATACTAAAGAACGAAGCAACAAGCCTCTGCATGCCACACACAGTCACTGCTTCATGTGGCCACAACATGTTGGAGGTCTTTACTTCATTATACAAAGAGGTACCTCAAGGGAGAGACTTTGTTTTATCTTTGGCACTGGCTGTGCGTGTTGTTTTAAGTCATAACATATCGATGACGATCTTTTTGATGATTGCACATGACTTATGATAAAGAAGACGGTGCTTGAAGGGACACAATTAATAATTTACTCAACTTTTTCCGAGTGCTTTCATGTAAGGGGCTTTCAGGGAATCTATCCATGATGTTGGGTGTAATCCACCTTTTGTAACAATGTGATAACATGAATTTCAATAAATATTTAAATCTTAAAATACATTGGTATATGAAAAACACATTAGATGTATAATCTTAGACCTGTACCAAAACTTGATATAACTAGTGATGCTAGTTGGCATCAAAATATATCTATTCTTAAATCTTGACATAACTCTGACTCGCAAGTACTGGATATTCAGTGAAAGATTTTTAGCAATTCAGTTTTTCCTATCGCTGAATGATTCAAAATCTGTCACCTCTCAATCAGCAATAATCAATCTGCAAGTCAGTGGTTTCACAATCAATATGAATCTGAGACGTTGGTGTGACCTTTACTGCCACTCACATCCTGCCTTACACGCTGAGCAATCCATTTCTTCATCACATGATGGTGAATGTGTGTTGATGTTGATTTAAACGATTGTCTGGGTAAATATGCAGAATTGTATAATATAGCTAATAATAATTACTGGTGAATATTGCATTTATAAATAACTTACCACTGACACAGCAGATTTAAGGAATTTGCCTGGATTACATTTTTATATTTACATAATCAGAAAATAAAAGGCCGATAAATGTATCTACCAAGTTTCAAAATGTTCACCCTGAACATGCCCGCAAAATGTTTAGTGACATTAAATATGCTTTCCTGATCATAAACAATATCAACTACTAACAACTGAAGGTATTGGTTAACTTCATGGAAAGATCATGTTCTTGGTTGAATAAAAAAAGAGCACAAGACATGACATGTTGACTTTAAAACTATTTACCAAAACCACAATCGTCCCCTAACCTTAACCAAAGTGTGTGTTTGTTGTCTATACATGCCAGAACACAGCAGCCCTCTGCTTTATACGCAAACAAACAAACAAACAAACACATTAGTGGCATGTAGATGTCATTATCTACCACTCATCATCATTCTATTTGGGTATAAAAAAAACAGTTTTCAATACACTCGTATTTAGCCAAACCCTTACTATTAAAAGCACTTTTGATTCCTCTTTCACCATAAAGGCATTGCTTTCTTTCAAACTGTATCACAGGTTGAGTATCACAATTGATCATTTTGTGGGTGAAGTATTCCTTCATCTCAGTCATTTCTAGGAATTAAACACCCTCTTAGTTCAGTTTCAAATCTTCTTACTTCTGCATCATGAAGATTTCGGCATCCATGCAGTCATGTTGAAAACAGGGACTTCCCTTTCCCTTGTCTTTGCTACACTGACTGTTGGACAGGTGTTTTGTCTTTGAGATATTTAGAACAAAGCAGAGGAAGATCCCCTCACAGGATTGAGACCTGTTTAACTCACCATGAGGAGTAATTTGAGCCTGAAACCGACCTCAACAACAGCTTAATGGAGAGAAAGGAACTAGTAATAATGAACTCATATTCGAGCCCGTGAAGTTGTTTCTGTACGCATTATTTAGTTTGAGGCATGTAACTTCGAAGACAAAAAGTACATCGACTGCTCTCAAAACAAAACCGTTGAGAACAAACAGTACAATTCTGACAGTCTCCCAAATGTCTGTGCTTCTCATCAACACTCTCTGTGGGGGTGTTTTTATTCACCTGCTGCTAACTGCGTAAGAAACATCTAGAAAGGTTGTTGATGGCCGCGTGTGCCTCCAGCCCTTTGTTCTTGTTTACCATCAGCCGCACTCATCCGGCATGTTCCTGGAACAGAAAATGCTCCAGAGGGCTGGAGATGGACATGTGTCCACTCCTCCACAGGGTCAGCAGAGGAGACCTCCACACTGACAGGCTGCAGCTGGGACTCCCGGCCTTGCTGCACACCATCATTGTGATGCAATCATCGGGAGAAAGAGAGGGATTGTTCCTCAGGATGTGTGTGTCTGGCCCACGCAGTGTGACTGTCAAAGCCAATCTCAATGCTGGACTAATCTTTTTAAATGCCTTTGTGATGTGCTGCAACCAATTTTCCCCTCAGGGACTAATAAACGAATACTACTACTACTTATTCTTCTTCTTGTTGTTTCCTTATTTAACACATTCAAAGTTCATTGACACAAAAGCATCTGTGAGTGGACACAACTGCCTTTTTGTGTGAGTGTGTTGCTTCTCCCTAGGATGTGTTTGTAGGCTCTATTGGTACCATATGTCCTCCTCGGCCTCCGCTGTTGAGTCTATTTTCGGGGAAATGACCTCACAAACAGAAGCATTGCTAATCTGATATCTGGTTCCCTTTTTTCGTCGGATGCGTGAACAATGAAGTGTCACTTTCAAACATCTGGAGGGCTTGTGAAGGCCTGAGTCACCACAGGGCGGGTCAGGCCTATGGCTGTGTACATATTGAATGTACCACCATACATGAGTCTTACAACACAACGCCTACAGAAGTTGTGAAACATTTTCTATCGGCCATCCGAGGTGATTCACTCTCCTCATCTCTCTGATGAAATGGAAATGAATCACAAACACTCCCTTGTCAGGTGACTTCCTTTTCTGAATCAGGGGTCATATCTGAGGGTCCTTGCACACACATACACACACATTCACCCAACCCTTACAGATGGCTACAATCAACCTCTTGTGCATTTACCGTCAATGAAGCATCACTGCCACACTTTTATACATCAGTCATGCATAATAGCATTCTTAACACGTTAGTACGACTGAATCAATCTTCACTGGACGGTAAACGACGTGTACAAATGACGAGACGTGACAGTAAAAGCCAGTAAGCGTAGTTTAGAGCACCTTTCTCAGGAGGTATGAGATTGAGTAAGAGGTGTTAAGCCATAATTATAGTTCAGTATGAAAAGTTACAGAGAGCGGTCTCANTGCTGTCTAATCAGCATCTTGATATGCCACACCTGTGAGGTGGGATGGATTATCTCGGCAAAGGAGAAGTGCTCACTGGTGAAACGGTTATTTTTTGTATGAAGAAAATGTTTTAGATCTTTGAGTTCATCTCATGAAAAATTTGAGCAAAAACAAAAGTGTTGCGTTTATATTTTTGTTCAGTTTAGGTGGACTGTATGTCTGTTCCTTGTCTTTCATCTTGTTCTGTACCTGTTTTGGTACAACATCTATCAGGAGTCTTAGTCATTAGCTGTTAAATCCTCTTGTGAGCTGCAGAAACAAAGGCTACCAGAAGAAAGCCACTTTGTTAGTTGAACAGGGACTTCAGCTCTTAAATGCTAACGTGACTTCCGGCTCTAAGTTTATTCCCGCACTTTCAATGCCAGCCTACAATACTGAACGAAAGCGAACCATTGTGATCATGACACACATGTTGGTACAGATAATTGTTTATAAATGAAACTCTTCCGCTGTTACCTGTTTCTCCACTTTGACAACACGTCCCATCATGCTTAGCTCATCCAGTGGGTCCAGTTCTGGTGGTGTTTTCTCTCCCTTTTCAGAGCGCATTTTCTTATCGGTCTGGACGGCTCCTCGCCCAATTATCTGGTCCACCCTTTTTACACAAACAAAGGACCATAAACACAAAGATTCATGGGACTAAGTCTGTTTCCATTCCTGTTACTTTACGCTAATTAACATAATGCTGACCATAGCTTCATATTTAAAGCTCTGACATGCAAAGTGGAATTGATCGAGTTCAAAGGCACACAAGAAAGAAAGCTGAAATAATACTTTGAATTTGTACATAACAAAGTATTTGAGATGTATTTGTTGTTAAAGGTATGACATGTACCTCATCTGCAGGCTCTTGATACGGCCCAGCATATCCAGGTGTCCTGCCGAGTACTGCTCGATGACGTCCTTCACATCGTACGGACGCAGCGTCTCCTTAAACTTCCTCTTGGCCACAAGGAATTTTAAGATCCTGCACAAACACACCAGACTCGCTGTTATCATTCCTCTGAGCAACTGTAAAGAACCCCAAACTGCACACACACACACATATATGGACGTACAGTAAACCTTTGGAAATATGCACGGGCAGGAAAACTATCAAACGGCGCGTGAGACCCTGAGAATACCAAGATTTATTACAGTCAGAGTGACCTTATCATTCACAAACAGCCCCATAAAGAGAGCAGAGTTTAACCGTGTGGATATATTGTGATGATGACAACATCTCCCAGAGACCTTTGCTTATCGGCAAATGCTGTTTCAGCAATTAGCATCAACCCTTACATAGTAACACACACAAACACCTCTATCGGAGCTTCCTGCTGTTCCTGCTCTTTTGTCAGCATGCTGGACCACAGCTGCTCCCCCTCACACACATCCCAATGTGGGGGAATCACACAGAGGAATGTTGACCCAGCACTGCCAACGTATCACTGACAACATAACAGAGTTGGTATTTTTGGGCGTCACGATGGAGGGAGTGGAGGATGTGCAAGAGATAATTGGGAGGGAGTGAAGGGAAGTTTAAGCATGTGTGTGTGTGTGTGTGTGTGTGTGTGTGTGTGTGTGTGTGTGTGTGTGTGTGCCTGGCTCTCTGTTTTGGGTGGGTCACTCATTTCACATCTTATCACTCACAGGATAGGCGGCTCTGAGATGCTGGCTCTGCAGAAGGCCCGGAAACACCAAATGTGAGCGAGACAAAACACACACACTCAAGCTGTCATCTCGCCCTGTGATGGCACAAGTAAAGCCGGGTGAAACGGAGGAGTGGAAAAGAATGTGAGGGAAAGGAAACCCTATCTCACACACGCAGGCGACTAAGTCCACTGTAATACTCCAACTTGCATCACAGGACGAAGAAAAGAAATCGCTAAAAAGGTCAGAGGAAGCAGGGGATCAGAAACAGCTGTCCTGAGAAAACGTCACACAGACAATTCACACACACACACACACACACACACACACACACACACACACACACACACACACACACACACACACACACACACACACACACACACACACTTAGCAGAAGCAAGTGAAATCTGAACTTCAGAGAGGGGTCAGTTTCTGAAATAACCTTTGTTGAGCTCTGCAGCGCTTGCATTACAGCAGCCACATGCAGCGACAGTTTTGTGTAGTGACCGGCGCTGCAACAAAGGGGGAGAGAAGTTCTGAGGGAAGGAGAAGAAGAGCGAGAGGAGGAGGAGGAGAGGTGGCCTACAGCTGTCAGTGTGCTCTCCCCCTCACGCAGCACTGTTTCTTGATGACTCCTGTGCTTTGGGTATTTTTGCAGGCGGACTTTTCTTATTTTGCAGGTAGATGCAGATTTTCCTTTGTCAGGGTGGGTCTCAGGTGTGTGAAAAAGAAAAGCTTTGTGGTGGGGGGGGGTTGGGGGTTTGATTTAGATCCTAGGTTTCTTCAAAATGCTGACTCTTTCTTAGTCGATAAAATAGCTTTTATAATACATGGTCAGGTCTGAGTGTGGCCCCCTCTCCCCGCCAGAAAACGTTCTCCTACGGTGCAACATTTACTGGCACAGCTCACTGAAAGATATTATATTTTTCCTAATGTAAGGAAGTTGAGACGTTACAACGCGGCGATGATTGGACAGACAGGAAATGTCATCTGTGTCCTGAAATGATTGCATAGCGAGTGCAAATATTTCTGCAATTCAGCAAAGGGGGATCCATGATAGTCTCCAATGGCAAGGTTTAATCTGTGACTTAAAAATGACTGTTATGCTGACAACAATCCAGGGTGGGGCAAAAAGTGTGAGAATCTGACTCTCCAAAAGATAAGAATACCAACCTGCTAGGGGAACAGAACTAGCGCAGGTACAGTATGTGGATTCAATCACAAATATTGTGCATAAACACTATATGACTTTGAAAATATAACAGCTGAAAAGCTAAAAACTGATGAGGATGACCAGAGATCAATCGTTAGAAATCATAAGCAACTTTTTACTCAATAAAGTAGCTAAAAAGCAAACCATTTTTGGAGTCACAGGAAGAGAGCACAGAAAGATATTAAAGCCTTGTTTTTCCATACTCTTTTTCTTTTTCTTCTTCTTCCTCTTCTTCTCCTCTTGCTCCCGCTGCCTTGCCTTCCCCTCCGTACATAAACAGAACACTGTACTCATTTATCCGAGCAGCCAGGCACTGATAAACCACATGTGCCTCTCTAAAGTGAAGGCTCAGCACTAAGGCCTGCTGCGTGATTCTGTGTTTCACAAACATCGATCATGAAGCTCGGCAAGGCTGCTGTGTGTGTGTGTGTGTGTGTGTGTGTGTGTGTGTGTGTGTGTGTGTGTGTGTGTGTGCATTCAGGATATTGTTGGGAACCCTGTGGGATATCTGCACATTTCCAAACAGAAGGTTATGTATTCTTGTACATGAGTAAGTAATTATTAACTAACACACACACACACACACACACACACACACACACACACACACACACACACACACACACACACACACACACACACACACACACACACACACACACACACACACACACAGTCCATGATTTATGAAGGTAGATATGGTACAAAATGCGAGAGCGTGTAAAAACCGGACTTGCAGAAAAAATCTGAGCTTGTGTGCATACATTTATACTTGTATAAAATATCCACCTATCTGTGAACCAAATTTGAAGTCACAGAAGAAAATAAAAAGTTTTGTAGCTTGTAGAAAAGAAATTAACTTAGTGATGAAATGTTCACTTGCAGAAAAATATATATTT